TGATGTTGTTTATTGGTCTAGCTGTGAAGATATTTGTTTTCTTTATGTTGAGGTGTAATCCATAATGAGGGCTGCGGTCTTTGATCTTCATCAGTAATGCTTCAAGTCCTCTTTGCTTTCAGCAAGCAAAGGTGTGTCATCTGCATAACACAGATTGTTAAGGAGTCTTCCTTCAATTGAGGTGCCCGTTCTTCTTCATATAGTCCAGTTTCTCAGATTATTTGTTCAGCATACAGATTGAATAAGTATGGTGAAAGGATACAACACTCACACATACCTTTCCTGACTATAAACCATGCAGTATCTCCTTGTTCTGTTTGAACGACTGCCTCTTGATCTATGTAAAGATTCCTCATGAGCACAATGAAGTGTTCTGGAATTCCCACTCTTCTCAATGTAATCCATAATTTGTTATGATCCACACAGTCGAATGCCTTTGCATAGCCAATAAAACACAGGTAAATATCTTTCTGGTATTCTCTGCTTTAAGCCAGGATCCATCTGACATCAGCAATGATATCCCTCGTTCCATGTCCTTATCTGTGTCTAACTTGAATTTCTGTCAGTTCCGTGTCAATGCACTGCTGCAGCCACTTTTGAAAGATCTTCAGCAAAATTTTACTTGTGTATGATATTAATAATATTGTTAAATATTTTCCACATTCTGTTGGATCACCTTTCTTTGGAACGGGCACAGGTATGGATCTTCCAGTCACGTGGCCAGGTAGCTATCTTCCAAATTTCTTGGCATAGACGAGTGAACACTTTCAGTGCTGCATTCATTTGTTGAAATATCTCAGTTGGCTTTCTGTCAATTCCTAGAGCCTTGTTTTTCACCAATGCCTTCAATGCAGCTTGACCGCTTCTTTTAGTACTATCAGTTTCTGATTATATGCTACCTCCTGATATGGTTGAACAGCAACTAATTCTTTTTTATTTAGTGACTCTGGGTATTCCTTCTATCTTCTTTTGATGCTTCCTGCATCATTTAATATTTTCCCCTGTTGAACCATTCAATATTGCAACCAGAGGCTTGAATTTTTTCTTCGGTTCTTTCAGCTTGAGAAATGCTGAGCTTTTTCTTCCCTTTTGGTTTTCTATCTCTAGCTCTTTACATATGTCATTATAATACTTTGTCTTCTCGAGCTGCCCTTTGAAATCTTCTGTTCAGCTCTTTTACTTCATCATTTCTTTCATTTACTTTAGCTACCTGATGTTCAAGAGCAAGTTTCAGGGTCTCTTCTGTCATCCATTTTGGTCTTTTCTTCCTTTCCTGTTTTTTTAATGACCTCTTGCTTTCTTCATGTATGATGTCCTTGATGTCATTCCACAGCTCGTCTGGTCTTCGGTCATTACTGTTCAACACATCAAATCTGTTCCTGAGATGGTCTGTAAATTCAGGTGGGATATGCACAAGATCATACATTGGCTCTGCTGGAGTTGTTCTAATTTTCTTCGGTTTCAACTTGAACTTGCATTAAGAGCAATTGATGGTCTGTTCCACAGTCAGCCCCTGGCCTTGTTCTGGCTGATGATATTGAGCTTTTCTATCATCTCTTTCCACAGATGTAGTTGATTTGATTCCTGTGTAATCCATTTGGTGAGGTCCACGTGAATAGTTGCTGTTTATGTTGTTGAAGAAAAGTATTTCCAATTAATAGGTCGTAGGAGCCCTAATAGTGCAGTAGTTAAGAGCTATGGCTGCTAAACAAAAGGTCAGCAGTTCCAATCCACCAGCTGCTCCTTGGAAACATTCTGAGGCAATTGTACTCTGTCCTATAGGGTTACTATGAGTTGGAATCAACTCAACAGCAACAGGTTTAGGGTTGTTTTTGGTCTTCCAAATTCTATCCTGTGATCTCCAGCGTCATTTCCATCAACAAGGCCATATTTTCCAACTGATTGTCCTCCTTCTTTGTTTCCAACTTTTGCATTCCAATCACCAGTAATTTTCATTGCATTGTGATTGGTGCGTATATTTGAAAGTTAGTTATATTAACTGGTTTTCCTTGTAGATGCATGGATATTATCCTATCACTGACAGCGTTGTACTTCAGAATAGATCTTAAAATGTTCTTTTTGATGATGAATGCTGTGGCATTCATCTTGAATTTGTCACTTCTGACATAGTAGACCATATGATTTTGTAATTCACAATGGCCAACACAAGTCCTTTTCAGCTCACTAATGACTAGGGTATCAGTCTTCATGAGTTCCATTTCATTTTTTTTTTAATAATCCTATTTTTATTTTATTTTTTATTTATTTATTTATTTTATTGTACTTCAGGTGAAGGTTTACAGAACAAATAGTTTCTCATGAAACAGTAGTAC